AAAAAAAAAAAAAACTAATAATAACAAATAAATAATTGTTCAATTAGGTAGTACTGTATATTGAAAGCATCAAAAGCACAAGTAAATAGTAACAAAATTGGCTGAAAATTGAAGATGGGTTTTGAGAGAGATCGATGGGTTTCGCAAGGCTGGAAATTGAATAAGGGTTTGAGGGAAATTTTTAGGCTTTCTCCGTGTTTGAGCAATGTAGGGCCTCTTTGGGCTTTTTGGGCTTCCAAGGCAAAACTCACTTTTTTAACATGTGGGCCTGCTATATTTGTAAAATCTAAATGTGGATGTTATATCTGTAATTTTGCTTAATTTTTTTGCTATGATTGCAAGTGCCCTAAAAATTACATCTTTTCCAACAAATCAACATGGACAAAACTCCCCTTTAGGAGAAAGTTTTTCTTGAATTCATGCGTGGTCAAGTAACATATAAATGAAAGTGGATTTTTTAATTTTGTATAATTACTATGTAATCCACTCGTCCATATGCTACGGGACCATATAGGAATTCAGGAAAAGATTCTTGAAGCTTCAGGGAAGGAAGTTTTTTTCCCATCAATAATGCAAACACAATTTGCATAGTAATTCAAATGGTATTATAATATTGCAAAAGAGAGAACCAAGAAACCTTGTAAAGGCAAGGTCTTGCATGAGATAATTCAGATTTTGGGAAGTTGCCTTCCCTCTCTACAAATTCTTGAGACACTTGCTTCTACGTTCTGTTTTGTTATTTTTTTTTTTCAAAATCTAAATTATGAAAACTTTAAAAAAATAATTATGAAAACTTTAGCTAATTTGAAAAGCAATATATTTTATCAAAAAGGAAAAACCAAAAAACAATGTTATTAATAAAATAACCTTAATAGAAACAATGGTTGATAATTGTGAGTTGTTATCTGCTTTTGCTGCACTAAGCTTAACAGAGACTTCCATGGGTCTTGTTTAGCATTTGAGTACTGTGTCTCCCTTGAATGTGCAATATTTTTGCAATGAGCTAGAAACTTGGGGCGGCCCGATGGAGACACCGGGGGAGCCATTGGCGATCCGAGGGAAGGGTGACTTGCTAAGGTCGAACCGGAGCCATGAAGCCATTCGTAGGAAGGTAGAGGGAGGTGCATACAAGGGGAAGTTTGGGTGGTGAGCCACCATGAAACATAGCAATGGATTCCATGGATATGATGGTTTAAGCAATATTGAACAAGATATGCTCTTGATCTTTGGCAAGAGTACTGACGTTTGAGATTATTATATAATAGTGTATGTAAAAAGAGAGTATTAAAAAGTAACAAATTAGGCCTAGATCAAGTAAATAACTATTCTTATCGTACCAAAAAAGTACGTTGAAATCTCACTCTTACTCCTTCTCGTAACGTCCGTGTCTGTGTCTCTTATTTCTCGTTTCTAAAATAGAGTTGATTCATTTAGTCTTCTTTCTCGATACGTTTCTCACATACTTTGGGATGAATATATGGTGTGCTTTCTTCTAAAAAAAGATCATATTTAATGTTTCTTGATTCTTCTTTTTTAGTAAAAGAAAAATAAAACTATTTTTGGTAATTATTGTTATATATCCAATGAATCAATTAAATTTATCCAACTCATCAGTTTAAGTTTTTGGGGTTGAGTGGTAGTTTATCCATTCTTAACATGGTATTAGAGCGAGACATTTTGTGTTTGAACTAAATTATTTCTTCTTTCTTATTGATCTCTACCATTTTAAATTAAAATAAACTAAAATTTTTATTTGAAAATTATTTATTTAATTAAATATTTATAAATTGTTGCCTTTTATTTAGGTTAAAAAACACATTTGGTCCCTCTACTTTCACTAAAGTAACAAATTAGTCCATGAACTTTAGTTTATAACGATTTAGTCCATATACAGTCACTAAAGTAACAATTTAGTCCCTATAGTTTAAAATTTGTAACAATTTAGTCCTTATTGTAAAATTTTTTTATTAAAATTAAGTGTCAAATTTTATTATATAACAATTTAATCTTTCTACTTATAAACATATTTGGTTTCTTTTTAGTTTATCTATCTATAAATATAAGAAATTTAACAAAAAAAAGTTTCACGATAAGGACTAAATCGTTACCAGCTTTAAATTACAATGACTAGATTGTTATATATTCAAGTTCATGGACTAAATTATTACCAATCTGAAAGTACAGGACTAAATCGTTACAAACAAAAGTACAGGGACCAAAAGTGTTTTTTAACCTTTTATTTATGCTTTTACATATTTATTATGCATGTCAATATGATATAACAATGCTTTTATTTATGTTTTGAAAAAAATACTAGAAATAGTAACAAGAAAAAAAAAAACTTTATTATGTTGTTTTCAAAATTTCTACAGAATTTTTTAACACTGAGAAGCGAAAAATATAAATAATTATCAAATACTTATGTTTCTGAAAATGATAAACAAAAAATTTGGCCGAAATCGAACATTATTAAAGGGTCTTAAATGTTAAATTCCCTGACCAAAGAGAAGGCAAGGTTAAAGAAGAAAGTGTGATGCATGCTGTGTTTCACATTCCTTCAACAAATGATGAAAAGAAAAAGGCAAATATGGGTAACTGTGGAATCATACCGTAGAGCTTCACAAGGATGTTACACTGAAAGAGAGAGCATCTTTTAAAGTGAACAAAAAAATTGGGTGTGGTTCAGTTTTGGATTTGACAAAATTGCATTAAAATATTCATCCTCGACCAAAAAGTTGAAAATCAAATACCCAACCGAGTTTCTCATCGAAATTTTCAGTCATTGAAACATTCCTTCTTATTTCAGATTTTTTTTTTTTTTCATTTCTTGGAGTCGAAACTCTCTCAACTCCATCTATTATCAGATTTTGTTTTTAGTTTACATTTTGTAGTTTTATTAACCGAGAAACATTCCATACATGTAAGTGAACTATGTTCTCTTTATTGGTTTTCATGAATGCATCATCTTTATTCCTGATAAAGCACAGAGTACACACACCAAAACAATGGAAAATAGAGAAAGTTCAAGAGCTTCCCAAAGACGTAATAATTTCAAGCTTTACTCAACAATGGAACGGAGTTCTACTTTCCATTTTTAGCTTCACAGCATCGTAAACAGCCATATGCTTTGATATAGTAACAACCACCACTAACAAAAAGAAAAGGAGTTGAGGGCACAACTTCTTGATCAGTTCTTTTCAACTAGATTTCATCAGCAAGATTTTCTTGGGCACAGACCTCGACCAATCTCACAAGATAAGCATCCAACCTTGTCATATTTAGTTGCCAAAGAAATTTGTAGGTGGTCGCCATGTTTAGTCATTCCAACTCCTCTTTACTTTCGGTACTTTTGACTTACTTTTTAATGAAATGATCAAACCAGAAAACTGTATATCAACGATAAACCGACCCTTGCTACAATATTCTACTACACTAGGGTGGGTGCCATTTTTTTTTCCTTAGAATATGATCACAAATACGGAGTAGGGATTCAAACCTATTTGTTTTTGGAGGAAGGTGTCTTCCTTGTATCCCACGAGAATGATATATAGAAGCACTTCCTATGGTTATCTGGCTTGTGATTTCTTTTTCCTTACCAAAACAAAATAAAATAAATTCCAACACCAAGACAGATGGAAAATAATTAAATAGAATAAGCACCAACAGTTGTGTATAACGTTGGCAGTACCCTTTTTCACAGAGGACAGAGGCATTTATCTTTTTCTTATCTTGCTTTGCCTCTCTTTGCTTAATAGTGGTGTTCTTGAGTTTGGTTGTCTCTTGCTTTCCCCCTCTGCAATTTCATTATCAGTGTAAATAACATCCTTAGGTTGAAAACGAATCAAAATGACCAGTGAACAAAATGGCAAAAGAACTCTGGGGACTGATCAGAATGCACACTTCACATTTCAGAGATCTCATGCCTTAGTGAAGGTAATATGCGTACCAGTCAATAGAAATGTGCCCGAACTCACTCCATAATTGCCTCTGTTCCAGCCGATTAACTCTGGAAGTGACTTGAGATTCGATTTAATTCGTATTATGTGGCAGGCTTAACAGCATGCTTCCAGTTCTTTCTTCAACCGCCTTCTCTTTCGTTTCCGACATTAGGCTTGAAGTGACAGGCACCAAGGATCTTATATCCCCATACAGTTTCAGATATCTCATCTTGGGGCAAACTCAACCCTTGACTCTTGATTAAGCTATGCAATTCAGAGTACAACTTTGGATCTTGTAGCTTGATATACTCTCGCAATACATTCTCGTGATCTGGGACCCAATTCCGAGGGAGGGGAGTGTAATCACAAGAGGGAATCATAGACATGCGAGAGAACTGCACACCTTCAATTGCATCGACAAGTCCCATTCTCAGAAGATCAGAATACTCGGGTGCTGCATTGTTACTGCTCTCTATCAATGGACGGCTTAAATTCCGCGAGGCTATCCTATACACCTTGGCTCGAGATTTTAGTCGATACCTAGCAGCATACAGTTTAGCCAATGAACTCCGTATAACATAAGCACAAAACCCAACAATTTTCTTCCGATTATCAGCATATTGGTACCAATCAGCCATTGTCTCAAGGAATTTATTCATCTGAGAATTTGTATGAGCTTGACTTGAATATAGCATTGGATTGCAAGGTAGAGGCTCAGGATCTCTATCTCCTTTAACGAGTTCAACCCGCCTGAACTTACGAATACATTGCTGCAAGCTAGCAGTAACCGAAAGCAAAGTTCCAACACACTTTTGGCTCACAATAGTACCTCCAGAGGAGGTATATCGAAGTGTAGGGTGTATTATTCTACGGCAAATCATATGGTCCAAGAAAAGAATTCCTCTGCTAATATGTTCAATCTCTATTTTTGAATTATCCAGCCTTATCCCAAATTTACTCTCACAAAACTCGATGATTTCCTTTCTAATTCTCACTGCATCCTCCCTAGGCCCTCGAATGCCCACCAAGAAATGGCCTCCATGTCGTATGTAATCCATTTTTCTAGTTTTTTCCTTACCACTAGCTGGAACAAACTCCGGCCAAGCTGGGTTATGGCAGCCATCTTTAATGGAGTCTCTCCAGATGGAATCAAGCTTGGACGGCCTAAAATACTGAACTATCTTATCTTCCATTACAAGATCCAATTCATTAAGACATATATTAGCGAGTAAAGGACTCAAAATTCCACAGTAGCCATAAGAAGGTACCTTGGCAGCTTCTTCTGGTGCGAAATTGAAGAATGTTCTTAACCAATATGGATCAGGTTTGGGTTCATTCTCATTGAGTATCTTCTTCTTCTTCGTAGCCCCTTTTCTTTTCTTCTTTTTCATCTCCTCATAATCTTCAACTCGAGGCCGACTATGCCTCGGTGATTGGAGCGCGGACTTGACTAAACGCAAAATCTTTTTGTCCTTGACAGCCTTCTCTAAGGAACCCATCACCACATTTTCATCAACATGACTGAAAATCTCACTCAAATCGGCTTTTAAGAACCAGAGGTACCCAGCGAAGTTGCTTCGAATGGTTCGAATGAAAGAATGGGCATTCCGGCCCGGCCGAAACGCGTGCGATTTCGGCGAGAATCGAGCCTCGAAAACAGGTTCTAATATATTCAGTAACACCTCCTGAACAATCCTGTCCTGAAAGCAGGGCTCATCGGACTCGAGCATCGCTTGGAGCTTGCGCTTGGAAATGAGATTGGTCCGAGATTTATCATTAGGGCTTCGAATTAACTGATAAGCCTTCCTGTTCCACGAAAATTTCCCATTAATTACAGCGTTGCGAAGAGAAAGTAGGTCGCGGAGAACATGAGAATGAATGGCGTTGCGAGGGGGGAAAGTTCCGGTCACATCCGCACATGATCGCTGATACGCCAATACCCATAAATCGAATTTGGAAAGAAAGCTCGAAAGATCGGAGAATGAACTATTGGGAAGAGAAGCGAAGGTTTTCGCCCATAAAGACGAGCAGATTTCAATTGGGTCTTCTTTGAGGTAAGAGTAGGGATCCTGGTCGTTGAGATTGGGAAGATTTTGGAACTGAACAGTAATCGAGGGACGCCGTGGTGGATGCGCGGCGGCGGAAGAGCTGAAGCGGGCAAGAGAGAGGGATGCTGCGAAGGTTCGGCGGTTGCACTGAAGGTGTTTGATGGTTGTTCTGAATGACATTTTTCATTAAACTTCATATCCGGTTGCTAATTCCTCATTTCCCGCTTCCGCCATTGAAGCCAACATAAGCAAGCTTCAATAAGGAAGCTTATGAGCCGAAACTCGGCTGTTTGATAGTGAAATCTCCGAAGCTTCTCTTCCTGTGGCGGAGCAATTGCGGGTCGCCGACAGATTTCGACGGTAGAAAATATCCGAAGCTTCAACTTTATGTAATCAGTTGCGAAATTTCTCTTTTATTTTATTTACTAATTTTAATTTTTTGGCTAAATTATATACCAAAATACCTTTTGCCCCTAGAGTGTGTATTTTGTTTCAAATTTACCCAACGTTTAAAATGTTTCAATATTATATAGAAATATTGATGACAATATACATATCGATATCATAGATGTTTTTGAAAAAATAGCTATAAAAAAACACACCCGACAAATATTTAAATTAACAAATAAGTATTTATTTTTTAAAATTAATTAATTTTTTATTAAATTTTTAATAGATATTTTTTATATTTTGTTGGTTTTTTTGGATATTGTAAAAATGTCATTGTATCATTTGTGTCGACGTAAACCATTATGGATGACTCATTGATCCAAATGGGCTAGGGTTAATTAAGAGGTAATGGGTTAAAATTCATGATGGCCACCTACCATAGAATTAGTAATTGGTTTTCCGACATCAAATGTTGTAGGATCAGACAGTTGTCCTGTGAAATTAGTTGAGATCCGCATAAGCTGACTCGGACACTCACAGATATATAAAAAAGAAAAAATTATGTTCGATGCCAAACTTAATAAATATATGTAAATGTTTGTGGAAATACTATATATTGATGTAAATACCTTCATTTCTACCTCATAAAAAATTTTACTATTTTGATGAAAATTGGTGAGATTGGTTATTTTGAACTAAATTAAAAATATTGAGTATATAATTTAACATTTTTAACCTAGATCAAATATAATTTTAATTTTAATTTGATCTTGATTCAGTTTCTCTCCTATACTTTCAAATTACTTTCATCTTTAAATTATTTTAACTATTTATCTTCTTAAAATGCTATATTTTCAATTCAAATATCTGTGCGTTAAAAAAAAAACGGCTTTGAAATATTAAAATAGATTAGAAGCAAATAAGTAACTATCAATCTTTTTAAAATTAAAGCAGATAATTATCAGTTAAATAGATTACTTAAATTGCACTTATTCTTTTGATTAAGTGCTCCACCAACCCCAAAATATCATTAAGTGGAAGAATAACGAATGTGGTATAAATGGCAAAAATTAAATCATCATTTCAACTATGTAAAAAAATAACAATAAATCAACTGATCATTGTTATAGAACAAAATATAAGCAAATGTTTAAATTTTTAATTTTAAATCTAAATTTAAATAGAGAGAGAACATTGGGAACCACACTTATTAAGCTCGAATTTCGAATTATATTTCAAAAAATAGAAACCAGTTATAAAATAATTAGTTGCGATTTATAATTCAATATAGATACGAATTCTGACGCTAAATTATTTATAAGATTATGGCCTAGAAAAAAATATGCCCTACACTTCGTTTTTTATTTTTTATTTAGCAAAAGCTTACATTTCATTTTCATACTTAAATATAAAACGCGTTGTGTAACAAAAGAACATTTATGTCAGACAAAAAAAAAACTAGGGAAAATAATTAATATTCTATCAGGTATATAGCTGTTATTTTTAAATTTTATTAAATTAAACCATGAATTTAAATAAGTAGTAACATTTGAGTGATATGTGTATGTATTTAAATTTATGAATAAAATAAAATTTTAATGGTACATCAGACAACTTAATTGAGAAATTTTAATATCCTAAAATAAAATAAAAAATTTCAAAAGATTAGGAATCTAATTAAAAACTACCTAAAAATGAGGCGTTTAACCTAAAAACTAGTACAGATATGGTGGAAAAATGATATGAATGAACAAAGATCATTAACTTATTTATTTAACTAATTTAATTAATGAAATCGAATAGAATTAAATGAAATCGAATACAATTTAAAAGATTATCCACAGCGTAATCGAATCGTCGTTCGGAGTGAAAAGAAAGCGGCAACCACAGCGAAACCAGCGTCCCAACAGCAACAACCGCTGAGAGAAGAGAGAAATTCGGAGAGAGCTCTGAGAGAGAGTATTCTGATTCTGGAAGCGTAAGGCTTCCTCTGAATCTTCAGCTCAATCCTTGTGTTTGGATCTGCTCTTCTCTCAATCTGCCTGTTTTGGATCCTCATGATTGGATCCTTGTGATCATTCTCTCTCGCATTCTATATCTGATGTCTTGAGAGTGACGCTGCATCCATCGCGATTCTTCGTTCCGTTTCCGGTGCGTATCTCTGTCGATCTGCGGTTTTCTAGTTTAGATTATGCTTTTTTTGTATGTGTTCTCTCGATTCTTCGTGGAATGGATGAGTGATTCGCTTCTTTTCATTTGCATTTTGCAGTTTCAGTTAGGATTGGTGATGGAGGCCTCTGTTATTACTCCTGGACAGGTATGGCTTCTACAGATGTTTGGGACCTGTGTAATTCTTTGGTTCAGGGTGGTTTTTTTCTTTCTTTTTTTTTTTCGATTTTGTACAAATGGCATTCTTGTATGGTGAAGTTCACTGACACTTGAAGTTAATTTGATTGATTGAAATTGAACTTCACATTTTCCTGCACTGTCGGCTATGTGTTTTGGTTAGTTGGCAACCGATAATTCTCACCGACAAAGTTTCCCTTTCATTTGAATTTTAAAATCAGTTTCTCCTTTTAATCTGCTTCTTGAGATTCGGACTACAGAACACCCCTCGAATACAAAACTATCGTGTTGTTAACTGGAAATTAACCTCTTCTTTGTTCATGGAAAATTGTTCCCTCCTTATATATGCCAGTTATCATTAGACTTCCAGACTTCGTTTTCCTCGAGGTTCGTATCTTCAAATTCCAAGACGAGCTAACTATTTTTTCTTTCTTTTGGGAGAAATAATGGATTTCTGTAATATGATCCAAATTGAATCATATCTCTAACATTTACTAGTCATCTGATGTTTATGTTTAACAAAACTGTAAAATGTTTTTACTACTCCATTCATCCCGAGTTCTTTAAAGTTTGTCGCAGATTCATACGATTTTTAGCTTATCTGCGTTGATGTTCATGGGTTATAATTTTCTCAGGAATTATGTTATCCACTGTATTCTGAGGCTTGAGTTTGAGAACAATATTGAGACGGACTAGAATTACTTTTGAAAATTTCTTAATTTTTGATTAGTTTATATTGATTTACCTGTTACTAATTTTATATTTCCATGCCTCAGATATCATTCCTTCTTGGAGTATCTCCCATCTTTGTTTCATGGATATACGCAGAATTCCTTGAATATAGGAAATCTTCAACTCCTTCTAAAGCGTGAGTAATTCTCTGCAATTTTTGTTGTTTAAGATACACATTTCAGTGCTATCTGTTTTTCTTATATGTAGCCATTGGTTCTCCTTGAAACTCAAGTGATTATCGGACTGTGGTAGTTTTCGGTTTTCATCATTTATCTTTTATTGACAATTTATGCAAAATTCCCCCGATCTATTTGTTTAAGAGTTAAATTCTCGTTAAAAGAACAGGCATTTAACATGTAGGAGTAAGAAGTAGGTTGATTTTCATTTTTCAATTTGTGGTTGACTTGTTTGTTTTATTCTGTCTTTTTAGTTGTTGCAGTCAAGTACACCCATGTATTTCTTTCTTTCTTTCTTCTTCTCTTTTAATTTTTATTTTCCTTAATGATAGATATTTAGCTCTTTTTGCTTAAGTTTCTTGTTACTGATTGAAATTTCCTGGATTGCAGTCATTCAGACATTAATCTGCCTGAATTGGGAGTTGGGACAATAAAAGAAGATGATCAAGCCGTTCTATTGGAAGGAGGTCTGACTAGATCAGCGTCTGCAAAGATTCATAATTCGTCCATCATAACGAATTTGATAAGGTCATTTCCATCATCTATGGTACATTTAAAGGTTTCTTTTTAAGTTCTTTCTTTGTTTAAAGTCCTTCCTACTGTCTGAACGTTTCTGGTCTTTAGGTTTTTCACACTGGATGACTCTTTCTTGCTAGAAAATCGAGCTACCTTGAGAGCAATGTGAGTCTTTACTTGATTGAACAATAATATTAAAGTAAAGTGTAACTCATTATTGCAATTTTGTTTAGGTCTGAATTCGGAGTGATTCTGTTGTATTTCTTTGTCTGTGACCGTACATCTATTCTGGCAGATTCGAAGAAGGTAGTGCCTGCTATTCCTCACTCCTCACTTAAATTTGTTCTTAACATTTTTCTTGAAATAATAGTTTCATCTTGATCTATTTAATAACTCTTTCCGGTGAAATGCTTTTGTTTTTGCATTTTGATTTTTCTCTATCCAAGAAACAAGACTATTGTCATCTATTATTGTTGATAGTTAAGGTGAGCAGGTTATCAGGATCTGAATTCCATAGAATCTCATTCTTACTCATTTCTTGCGTCATCTTTTATGCTTCTAACTGACCCTTTATATTTTTCATTACTTGTGTAGTAGCTCAATCATTTTTCTATTTCCTCTTTTCAATCTGCATTTAAAGTAATATACTTATGCTGTTCAAATGGTTACTTTCTGTGACAGAATTACAACCGTGACCTCTTTCTATTTCTCTACATCATTCTCATCATTGTTTCAGCAGCAACGTCCTTAAAAAAGCACGGTGACAAGTCAGCATTCTCTGGGAAATCTATTCTTTACCTTAATAGGCATCAGACAGAGGAGTGGAAAGGATGGATGCAGGCAAGTTGTATTCTAAAGTAGATATTATTATCTTTGTTATAAAATTTATGGTGCATAGGTTGTATGTGTTGTTAGCCTACTATGATTTATGATAACATCCATTGTGCTAGACTGCTATTTATTGTTTTTTACTGGTTATTCATTTTCATCTGTCCATTACTTGTGTTCTTTCAATTATGTTCAGGCTTTTGACTGGTATTTATGTTAAATTGTAAACATGTCTCCATCTTTAGATGTCATCCAGTTGCAAATTGGGTTGAGCGGATTTATGTACCCTACACTTGATTTCCAAATGTTCTATCGTTCTTTGAGTAAAGTAACCTACCATACATTGTGTAGGTAACATGTAGGTAATTTTTGGAGTAATTTACAACTCACAACTTCTAGGTGATGCAACACTTATAACAAATTCTTTCGTAACTACTCTCTCTCCATGATCCTTCAGAATCGGAAGTGTGTTAGTTTCTTGGGAAGGGATTCTCTCTTCCCCTGCCCGTAGCTTGTATTTTTTGTGATTAATACATCTCTTAGTTTTTTTATGGAAAAAAAAAGAAATGTTCTATTGTTCTTCACATGCATTTGATTGCATACGAGCTATTAAATTTTCTTTAGTTAGTTGCTCATGCCAATTGTTGTAATTAAATTGTATTTACTTGGTTATAGTCAAACCATTAACATTTTTCTTTTTGGGTTTCAACAGGTTCTTTTCTTAATGTATCATTATTTTGCTGCTGCAGAGATATACAATGCAATACGTATGTTTATTGCTGCATATGTCTGGATGACCGGATTTGGAAATTTTTCCTATTATTATATCCGAAAGGATTTCAGCGTTGCTCGCTTTGCTCAGGTTATACATTTTCTTTCCTTATGCTTAAAACTGTTTCTACCTTCAAAGCTCTATATACCACCCGGCCAAAAAAATGTTGATGAAAGAACTTCTGTTAATATCTATTATTGTATGCAGATGATGTGGCGGCTAAATTTCTTCGTTATCTTTTGCTGTATCATTCTCAATAACGATTATATGCTGTACTACATCTGCCCAATGCATACACTTTTCACTCTAATGGTTTATGGAGCTCTGGGTATTTTTAACAAGTATAACGAGAAAAGCTCAGTGATAGCAGTGAAGTTTCTTGCTTGCTTTCTTGTTGTAATCCTCATTTGGGAAGTTCCTGGTGTTTTCGATGCATTTTGGAGTCCTTTGACATTCCTTTTAGGTAAGTACTTATTCATGCTGCTTGAAGAGGAAAAAATTAGAAGAAAAAGGAAAACAGAAGTACAGATAGTCGTTTCTTTCTGTTAAGTATTTCAATCTTATGTTTTGTGCGGTGGCAAGGTGCCTCCAATTATTTTGATTTCATAAATCAAGCTATTCTTTGTTTTTAGAAGTTATTCTCCTACCTAACTGCTTAGCTTGGTTTTATGCAAACTGCAAAGTTTCGGGTATACTTCAAGTTCAAATTGTAGGCAGTGGACTTTTCTATTTGCATACTTGATCGACAACTTATTACTGATGATTATTAAGACTTCAAATGATACCATATTTTCATAATATGGTAAACCTTTAGATCATTGGGTTTCTTTGAAGAATATAGCAACCTTTTAAACTATTTGGTTTCCTGCAGTTTGGTTTTTACTAATCCATATGTTTCATAATGACCATTTATCCTTTTATTTTTCCCTTCTTTCTTTTTGATATCCAACAGGTTATACTGATCCTTCAAAACCTCAACTCCCTAAATTGCATGAATGGCATTTCAGATCTGGACTCGACCGGTATATTTGGATTATCGGAATGATCTATGCCTATTTTCATCCCAATGTAAATTGACGTGTCTGAATTTGTTATTATTCTTTTTTTTTTTTTTGTGTTTTCTATCGTTAAAAAAATTGTTTTCATATCCTAGGTTGAAAAATGGATGGAGAAATTAGAGGAAGCTGAAACCAGGAAGAGAATATCAATTAAAGCGTGCATAGTTTCAGTTGCTTTATTCGTAAGTTGGATGAACTTGTGACTAGCAATGTTTTTTGCGTGGGAACAATAATCTCTTATAATCATTCCGTTTCTCAATACCTTCTGTTTTTTCTAGGTTGGTTATATGTGGTACGAGTGGATTTATAAGCTGGATAAAATTACATATAACAAGTATCATCCTTACACATCATGGATTCCCATAACGTATGTATTGGAGAGGTTTTCATTGTTTTAACTTTATCTGTTTTTAGTATCTTATCACTAATCTCGTTTTATTTTAATTATAGTGTTTATATTTGCCTGCGGAATTTTACCCAACAGTTTCGGAACTACTCTTTGACGCTCTTTGCGTATGTATTTCTACCAAGTACAATGAGATATTAAAGTTTTGAACTTTATATCTTTCAATATCTTATGTTGTGTTTGCTGCTATTTATATCATCAGGTGGCTCGGCAAGATTACCCTTGAAACTTACATTTCACAGTTTCACATATGGTTGAGGTGATTTTTTTTTCTTTGCAACTCGCTATTTGATCTATTTGTATCCTCTACTAAATAACCATAGTTCCTTACATTATAGGGTCCATAATGTTCTACGTCATCTTGTAGATGACCTTAAAATCGATTAACTATGCTCACTCTCAGAAGACTTGTTTCTTTATTTATATTCAACATGGATGTGTAATCACAAACTAAAATCTGTTGACAATTTTGACGATTTCTGAAAAAAGATGTAGGGTCTTTCTTCATCATTTAGATACTTGAACTCAATGTTTTAAAGCACTTCTGCCAATACCATTCTTTTTCTTTCTGATTAAGCTCGCAAGTAATGCTTGAATTAGGGACACTGTAGCACAATTATTTATATGGAATTTAAATTACACTTTCCAACATCAGAACACCAAATTATCGTTTTCTTCGTCTGTTTGTGCAGATCAAATGTGCCCAATGGACAACCTAAGTGGCTTCTGTGTATCATTCCAGATTATCCTTTGCTCAATTTCATGCTCACTACCGCAGTCTATATCTTTGTAAGAGAAATTTACATGGCCCTTTATTTTGGAAGGAGGATTCAGATTTCATTTTCTCGCATGATGATTTGTAAATTGATTCTCTTTTGCAGCTCTCTCTTAGGATATTTGAATTGACAAATACACTTAAGGCAGCCTTTATTCCCACGAAAGATGATAAGCGTCTACTGCATAATTTAGTTGCTGCATCTGCAATTGGTTTATGTTTATACAGCATCTCGTTGATTTTCTCCGGTTTCTTCATTTGACGGTGAGCCCTTTTCCCAACTTGCTTTGTATGTTAATTTAGTCGTCATCTAACTATTTTTTTCAACTCGCATTTCAATTTTCATTTTAAGTGTCATTAATGGACAGTACTTTTCAGCTGTTGGGCATTTCCTCCTGTTTCTTGGAATTCAAATTGATTCGAATCTTTTCTTTTTACCCCTGTTAATGACTTGCCATTCCTAATTGGTGATTCAGATATTAATGTGAATCCATGGACTAGAGCAATTTCTGCAGTTGTTTATTTCCAGTTGGAAATGTGCACCAGTGAAATATGGAGTTGAAGTTTTTGGTTGCAAATCGAACCCGTTTTCGATAGGCCCTCCTCAAAGACGAGGCTGCAGAAATACGCAGGCAGAAAAGAATTTTTTTGTTACATTTCCATTCCCCTCTCCCCAAAGAAAAAATAGCCGATTTTGGTGGCGCAGCATTGGTCTTTGATGTATTATAGTATTCAAAATTGAAGTTATGACAATTTGCAAAAAATCTATATCCATTTCCATCTTCTAGAAAGTTATTATATAATAAATTCCCATTGGTAGGTTTGCCTCATTTTTCTTCATGGAACGTAACAATGTTCCTACTTTTGCTTCGCTTGCGTTCTTCCCCAATGAAAGGTTTCGTAGCCTCTTTCTCGAAGTGAGAAAATAGAAGAGAGAAGGAAGAGAGGTTCTTACTTCATGTGGTTGTGCACTTCTTAGGACGTGTTTGGGAGATGATATCAATCCTTTTCTAAAATTACTTGTATTTTTCTTTTTTCTTTTTTTAAATATTACTATTTTAGATGAAAGTGATTTTAACAATGACAAACATGATTTTCCTTTTCATTATTATCTAGTTGTTAGCCCATCTTAGCAACTAGAGTGAGGGCTTATTTGAGAATGATCTTAGAATTAATGATTTTAGCAAAAGAGATTTAATGATAATTTATTTTGTGAAAGTGATTTTTATATAATTAAAATTAATTTTGGATGATTAATCTTTAAAGTTTAAAAAGAGAAATTGACAAACTTTTTACACAGAAACAAAAATCTTAGAAAAATAAATTTTGTAGGGTGAGAGACAAATTTTAGATAGATAAATAAACTTGAAAAATGGATGGGGACTAAAAATTTAGTACGAGACTACACAAATTTTGGAGAAAAAAATTAGAGAGAATAAAAAGATTCAAGATGAATAAAGTTAGAGAGTGACAAAAATTTTGGAAAAGAAAAAAATAATTTCAGAATTCAAAGTGAAAATAAGGTGAGTAAAAGACAATTTTTTAAAATTAAAACAACAACCATTTAAAAAACTAATTTTATATTAATTTTTTTATAGTAAAAATCACTTGGCATACTAGAAAGATTGGAAATCACTTGTAATTTAAAATGAAAGTGATTTTGACACGAGTAAAAGTAACTTTATCACTATCAAAATCACTCCTAAACATACTCAAAAGAAAGTAAAAGCGACTCTCAATGACGAGTGAAATAGTAATTTTATCAAAATTTTGGAAATAGTAATTTTCATATTTCATATTTTGATCTAAATAACTTATCTTATACTTATAATGTCATAACTAAGGTTATTTTGCAGCTTCTATTAGGTTGAACAAGGCATCCAAAATTCCAAATCGAACCCAACCCCACAAGAAGAGTTAGAAAAGACAATTCATTTAATGGACGAAAGAAAAAGGGGTTTATTAGTGGAATTTAACAATAAGTTTCAATTGGATGTTGACACTTATTATATTTTTGGAAATTCAACATCTTCCTCACATGACAACAGTGCATGGTTTGAAAAATGATGCCACATCGGATTTTACTGAAATATCCACCTGATGAATAGGAGAATAACATCCCCATATCAGTTTAACAATGTTTTGTTTTAACCTCTATAATTTTGATAATTTAGGATAAATATTGTTTAAAAAAAATTCAGAGGAAAACAAGAGTGAAACTATATGTATCTAAAGATTTATTAGAAAATTACTCGACTATATATCAGTGAGAATAAACTTCTATTGACATTTTGATGTGACATGTTATTATTCGTCATTCTATTACATTTAAAAGAGTGACTCAAAAGTTTTCCTAAACTTTCTACTAACTCCTAGTTATTATTGATATATTTTTATATTTCTACCGTCTTTCTAGTATGATGTATTTTTATTGGCTCAAAAATTTTAGTGGAATCTACTTATCTTTATTAAATGTAGAAGCTCCTATTGAATCATAAGTTGGCAAAATTTTTCTAATTTTAAAGACCTATCAGATAAAATAAAAAATTCATCGATCTAGTAGACACTTTTTCAAGACCTATTAGACCCTACCTAAAAATTCAGATTAAATTCATAAATCTGAACTAGAGATACAACCCTTTAAATTCAAAGACCAATGAGTTATTAATTTAAGCTTAAATCCAGCTGCAAAGGTTCTTTGTTGTTGGTTGGAGCTGAAACAGCCTTTTAATCCAAAGCTTAATTCAAAGATTTGCATTAGGATAACCCAACAATCTCTCTCACATTTTTAACGAAAACGAATATCTTAAATTTATAGGTACTTAAAAATCTCACAATCAAATCCACCAGAAAGAACTATTCTTGAACAAGATAATGGTTTTCAACTTGACTTGTATTCCCTAAAAGTGAGGATTCTATTAACAATCAACTTGGATCTCTCATGGACCATCCAGTGGAGTTGTAGCGGCTAATTGGACGCTATTTATTGATGCTAAATGGACTTTCTCACCCAAGAAGTAGTTCAGAAGTTTTTCCTCAGATTATAAAAGTAAAAACTCAGATATTTTCTCTCTTCTTCGAGATTGACGTATTGTCTATCTGAGCTTAACTCAATTGATTAAGGTCAAAAGTTTGAGGTTGAATCTCACCCCACAGTTCCAATTAAAATTCCGAGGTTCAAATCTCACCCACAGCTCAAAAAAAAGAACGATTTTAGTGTATTTCTATTTTTTTGGGTGACTTTACATTTTACAGGCAATTGGGTCAGAGTTTTTGTCGAAGAAGAGGATAAAAGTGTAACGCATTGTAAGGATTATGTTTAGTAAGACAAAAGCTGTTGGCTTCTTATTATGACATACCTTTTTAGTTGCTTCCTTGGACTGTAGCTTGTTTTTTCTTCTTCACAGCTCTCTCTCTCTCTCTCCGAGGAAGCTCTTCACTTTCTGTCATGGAAGAAGTTCAAGAAAAGCGCCTGCAAATTACAGGTTAGTGTTCAGCAAATTAGCATTAACAGAATAATAAGAACAAAAAGAAAAAGAGCAAGTCTGAAGTGATTGATGTGCCTTTTGATTTTAGCATGTTGAAGTAGTATTCTGTTCTTCCTCTAGTTTGTGAACAAATTTAATTACAAAGCACCGAAATTCTGAATTTCTGATGATATTAGGAGATAAGATTAGAACTACTTTACTTCTTGCTGCTTCTCATTTATTCTGTATCAGTGGAAGCCCAGCAGAAAAAAAGATCATACAAGTTCCCCTTTTGCTATATGATTATTTAATTTGAGATGTTCCATTTTTAAAACAGTTGCCACCTAAACCAAGCAAAAGTATAAGTATGCCACTAAATTAAGATAAACCTCTATTGATAATAGATTAAAGTGACCAAACTAACCCTAATATATCAACTTAAAATTTTAAGTTTAAGCTTAGATTTAACTAGTAGGAAAGAGAGTTTGTATTCTTGTTATATCTCATTTTACTTCGTTTTATACTAATAGTTCGTATATTGAGTTTCATAAAGAAGCTAAATTTTTACTTTGTAAGAGGTCATGTTTTGTTAAGTTACAACATCAACTCATCGGCTGCCATTGAATTATATATTTCTCTCTTCTAATATTCTTCCTTAAAACTGTGTGATCACCCAGAATCAGATCAGATAGCCAAAGAAGCAAACTCCACAGAATCTTCAGAAACAATCATCAACGAAGCAAGAATCACCCACAAAACAAATTACAAGAAGTGGTTTAAAATCTCTCTCTACATAATCTTTCTCCTCTTAGGACAGTCAATAGCAACCCTCCTCGGAAGACTCTACTTTGACAAAGGAGGCAAAAGCAAATGGCTTGGAACCTTAGTCCAATTAGCAGGCTTCCCCATCCTCCTTCCTTATTACATCATAACAGCAACCAAACAGAAAACAAACGTTTCACAACCAAAACAACCAACTCTGTCGAAACTTGCTCTTGTTTATGTCTCATTGGGCCTGTTCTTAGCTGCAGATTGCTACTTGTTCTCCATTGGCCTCATGTACCTCCCTGTTTCCACTTATTCCCTCATCTCAGCCTCACAATTGGCCTTCAATGCCATCTTCTCCTTCTTCCTCAACTCCCAAAAGTTCACTCCTCCAATCATCAACTCCCTTGTTCTTCTGACCATCTCCTCCACCCTCCTTGTCTTTCAAACAGACTCAGAGGGCTCAGCCACTAACATGGCCTCTAAGGCTAAATACACCATTGGGTTTATCTGTACCGTCGCTGCATCAGCAGGCTATGGCCTGGTGCTTTCTTTAACGCAGCTGTTCTTCAACAGGGTCATCAAAAGTGACTCGTTCAAGGCCATTGTGGACATGATTGTGTTCAGGTCGTTTGTTGCCTGTTTGGCCATTGTTGTGGGGCTTTTTGTGAGCGGAGAGTGGAGGGGTTTAAAGAGGGAGATGGATGAGTTTGAGTTGGGGAAAGTGTCGTATGTTATGACTGTGATTTGGACTGCCATTTTGTGGAAAGTTTATACTGTTGGGTGTGTGGGTTTGATATTTGAGGTTTCTTCTCTGTTCTCGAATGCTGTGTGCGTTCTGGGTTTGCCTATTGTTCCTGTTGCGGCGGTGATATTCTTTCATGATGGGATGAGTGAGCTGAAAGGCGTGGCCATGGCGTTGGCGGTTTGGGGTTTTGTTTCCTATGTTTATCAGCAGTATCTCGATGATTTCAAGTCCAAGAAAGTGAAGAAAGATGGACAAATGAGCTAGGAATTAGGATAAGGAGCATAAATGCATTGTAATATTTTTATAATGGAAATTATAGAACTATTAAAATGAGGCTTATTGCAATACAAAATTTTAACTTCTTTTTTCCTCAATTTAAGGAAAAGTTTCTCCCATATCAGGGAAGAGAAGTTTTTTTTTTTTTTTTTAATTAAAATTCTGTAGCTTAATCATTCAATAAACTCGATTTAAAGACAAATTAACACTAGTCATCTAATCAGTGATATGCATGAATAAATTAACGAGATTCTTACTTTCGCTGCCTACCGTCTAGCAAAACTACAAAGGTGTTAATCAGGTTGGGTTTGAAGGGAAGATTGAAAAACCAAATCGGTTCGATTTTGAAGCGAAAGAAAACCCAATTGAAGAGGAACTACAGGAGAAAGTATTTATATTTCCTCCGAAGTGCACCGTATGGGCACACGAAGCTAGTTTTCTTGCATCACAACTTCTGTGTATTGCAGTGCGAGGTCAATTTTTATCCTATAAATAGAGGAATCAAGAAACAGCTTATATGCATCTTGTGAAGAATCAAAAAGCATTCACAATAAGCTTAGGACTGAGCAATATTACAGAGTTTTCGGATTGGGTTGAGAGAAAAATAGTGGAAGAAAGAATTACTTGAGAAGTTTTTGGAAATATCAGGCATATTCTCGGTAGAGTGTACAAGAGCTCTCTATCCTTCTACGACCTCTATTCTTATAGTGGAGCTTACAAAGTTCTAAATTTTATAAATTTTGTTACAATCCCTCTTCACATAGGTACAAACGTAATTCTAGAATCCCTCTTGGTTTACAGCTTAGTAGAATCCACCCCTTCACTATATTATATAACATAAACAAACCAATGAAAAAGAAATGACAAATAAAGTAAATGCAACCAATGGATTGTTTTCAAAGGGTCGCTATATGTTTGACAAACATAGTGCAGCGCCCACCACCAAGGAAAGACATTTGAATCCGCACGTAAACTCTACACTCATGTAACAAATCAATCCGCAACAATTGTAGGGAAGGAGGAATAAAGCCTTACTTCTAGAAAGAGAGTTATGAATTAACTCTCTGCAATAAACCACACAACTTGCAGAATATGTTCCCACCAACACCATCCAAGCCTCCCCAACAAAGCCTCCCCAAAAATTGTATATAATAATATAAAATACATATATTATTATATACAATTTTTTTACGAGTCTTGCAAATTTACGTGATTGCTAAGTTGTAAATGGAACCGTAACAAATATCACTTTTGAAAACTGAATGACAAACATGACAAATACTAATCATCATTAGGCAATTACATTTATTGTCTAGTAATTATCTGCACTTACCTCATTTACCATTCATTTTTTTAAAAATCAACTACTAATTGATATTAGTTTTCACTTTCCATTGCCAAAGCGAGCATGTTCAACATATATCACTAACCAAGAGGTTGTGAGTTTGATCTCCCAATCCTATATGTCGTACTAGAAAAAAACTTTCACTTCACATCCCTCGTTTCAATTTTAAAAATGGTTCAAAGATATATTTGAATCGATTTTAAAAAGTTAATAATATTAAATCAAACTTTTTAAACCATAGAGATACTATTAAAATTAACCTCAAAAAGCGAATTTCCCACCATTTAGCCATATTTACACATACCCTTTTATCCTTGGATATGGGCGTGGGCTCTAGCCATCAGCATTTGCATTTCAAAGCACCACATCTCTTTGGGACATTTCGTCGAACACTTGGGCTGCCCCATCGCATTTCGCCCAATAATTTAGTCGCAGTAGTAAAAGCAGAGCACCACCGACAGCAAACACATTCTGCCCGACCCTTTTTCAAAGAAGATCCTTGAATCTTTGTAATGAGATGATTGTGACTTGGAGCCACCGGCAAAATGTGGAAGCCCAGCCTACTCTGGCGTAGCCAACCCAACTTTTTTCGCCATGGGCGTAAGACCCGCGGCGCTAAGGCGCGACCCCCTTGCCCTTGTCAGCTAATTAATAATAAAGTTTGAAACTGGCAATCGCAAGGGAAGGAGTTCCCTCTTATTCCTCTTCATGTCTTCTTCTTAATTAATATCACAATTGTCTTGTCTACATCTTTCTAACATCTTTTTCTTTTAGCTAAATTTATCGAGAGGTCCCTAATATTTTTGGTAATTTTTAATTTGATCCTTGATTTTTAAAAATTTTTTTATTTTACCGTTAATGTATTAAAAATTTTCGATATAAAACTAATGTGTCATTATTGTGTTCAATAACCTCTCATGACATGTGGGCATGCAATTTAGAAGGAAGTGATTTTTGTTGATTGATAGAGAAGAGATGTTGAATTTGGTTGATTAACGAGTTAGATTTCATGTGCTAAGTAATATCCAAATGGCATGTCCACGTATGAAAATGTAGGTTAATAAATAGTATGTCAACTTTTTGTTAATGAATTTTAATATTTTCTCGCCGAATGAGTTGATTGAAACATTTTTATATGCTAAGGGTAAAATTCTCTTCAAAGATTAAAATTTTGGTATATTTAACCCTTTTCTTTTTAATAGTTTAAATTAATTCTTACCATTTTTATACTTAAGTGATCGGTTCATGTTAATATAAAAAAATAAATAAATAAATTTTCAAAATAGGAAAATCTGAGTATAACTCAACATTTAATATACATATTATTCATTTTTTTTAGAAGTGGAAAGTTTAATCTCTCATCCTACCAACGAAAAATAATGGGAGAATATTATGAATTATGAGTTGGGTTCACATTCTAGAGATGTAGGTTAACCTTAGGGTAATTGTGGCAAGCAATTATGTTATTTTGTTTCTATTATGTAGTACTAAAATCATTCATTATTGCTTTTCTAATGAATCATGCCAAATTTACACAAAACCCACTTTTTATTGGTAATACTGTTTATTTACCATTTGAATTTTTCTTTTCTCTCTTCACCAATTTATTTTTTTCCTTTTTCCCTATATAGTTCTTAGATCATAGAAGTGTGACTTTTCATATGATAGAATATGTGCCATCAACACTCTCCCTCCCCTCCGACAACATCTCGAAATTATGTTTAAATACTATTTTAATCTTTATATTTTTAAAATTTTTATTTTGATCTTTATATTTTTAATTTTTGTTCATTTCAGGCAAACATGAACTTAGCTCAAGGTAATTGACATTTGTGGTACTAAAAAAGAATTTTTGTTCATTTTAATTTTTATACTTCGTTTTTATCTTTATATTTAAAATTTTGACTATTTTGGTCTCTTCATTTTTATTTCTATCTCATTTATTCTTATAGAAACTTTAGCATGACACTTCACACTCACTCGTTTTTTTAAATGTAGCTATAAATTTGTATCAAAGAATCTCCAGATTGTACAAGATTTGTATTAAAATCTTACAAATATGGATCCAAGTGATAACTTTCAAAAGTATAGGAATCAAAAAACTATTTTCCTTTAAAATACAATAACTAAACCGAACATAAATTAAAAGTACAAGTACCAAAATAAACATTTTAAAAATACATGGACTAAAAATGGAACAAAAAAGTATTTAAACTAACAAAAAAAAAAAGTAAAGAATAGGAATTGGATGTTAATGTGTAATGTGAAATAACACCATAGTTGTTAGTTGTTACATCAATTGTCACTTATCAAAGACAAAGAAAATCAAAGCAAAATGGAGAAAAAGAGATTGAGAGAAAGGGAATTGAATAACAAAGTGGCCAAATTGGAATAAGTTTGAATTAGTAGGTCACTCCCTCTGTCTTTTTCCCCTCTCTTATTCCAACGTTTGCTGACTCCACACCCAATTTATCCTTACCTTATCTCCAAACATTTTTTTTTATTTTTTTTTATTTTACCAAAATTTAGACCCTCAATAATGATTATATAGTGTAAGGATATGTAATTACAAGTTTTTAAAATTCGGAACTAAATAGGCATAAGAATCATAGTTCACATCAACTAAATTTGTAATTTAATAATTTTTTAATTGATTTTTTCTTATCAGTTTGGTTAAATTGTGATCATTATACTTTTCATTTAGTCTTTTTTTAATTTTAAATAAACGTGGGTGTGTGAAAATTAGACATCCAACCTGAATAGAATGGGGATGTCTATATAGTTGAGCTATGTTCATGTTGATAGTTTTTTAAGATTTATAACTTCCGTTTTTACGAATATAACTAGACTATTTTTTGAATAGTTGATATTTCTTCGAAGCATGAACATGAGGAATGTTTTTTAGTACTTGGGTATTAATTAAGTGTTTCCAAACGCTTGATTTAAAAAAAAAAGCATTACTTTCATGGATAGCCATCCAAAATTTACTCTAAATCACTTAAAAGACTTACTTTTTTATTTTAATTTTTTTTCTTCTAGAACAAAAAAGCATATGCTTATGAAAAATAGAATACACTTTCTTATAATGACATCATATTCTCTTCCCCTACCCAACATATGGAAGTAAATGATAGAATGAAAATGGGGCCATCTCTCTTAATTTTGTTCAATTGTCACCTTCACCCACCTTGTTTATTTATTCTATATTATTTATTTTTTATTTTTGAGTTTAATATAATTGTCACCTCCACACTACAATGAATGTCTTAGATTAGACGCATAGATAATATCGATCCAAATTTACTACTTTCTTTTTTATATTGAATAATATTAAATCTTTTATAAGTAGGACGGTGGCAAAAGAGAAATACAGAAAAAGAAACAAGTGTTCTCTTCTTAGAAAAATCAAACAACGGTAAAATTTTGAGTGGCGTGGTTGATCATTAGAAACCAAATATTGGTTCTTTGTCATGTTACTGTTACAAAAATATCATCGCTCACTCAAAAACTTTGTGTGTCCCATCCCCTTCCTATTTAAATCCTTCCATTTCTCGTCTCTCTCTATATTCTCTCTCTCTCTATAATTTCTTCTGCTAATTTAGACCATGGGAGACACTGGAGAACTGCGCCTGCAATTTGTGGGTAAGTCTTTTTTCAGCTTCAATTTATATATATATATATAATGATCATTTTGGAACACATGTATTGTTTTGCTTAAAACCCTACTCAAATCCTCCCCAAAACATTAGAAATTTACAATAATTTCAAATGTTCTATAGCAAACTTTATGTATGCATTCCAGCTGAATATTCTTAGGTTGTTCAAAAGCAAAATATTTAGCTCTTGACTAGCGATGATCGAACTCCGTCTCTGTTCTATCTCATTTGGTCACTTTAGATCCCTTATCTTTTACGAAAATTATTTAGGTGCTACCCATCTTTTGTTTACAACCGCAACTAAAATCTCGATAGGTAGGAGAGAGAAACGTAGAAAAAGAGAGATATTTTTATGCTTTTTAAAAGAATAAAAAAAACCAGTTAAATTTTTGTTGGTTAGTAAGTATGAAAATGTATGCTAACTAGTTAAATAAACCACCACTCGGTTGATGTAAGGGGAATACAAACAAAGTCGCATATTAGTTAGGTAAGAACATGATCTATAGTATATAGATAAGGACAATTATCTCCCCTGGGATGAACCTTTTTGGGTTAAACCGAAAACAAAGCTAAGAGGGTTATGTCCGAAACAGAAAATATCATACCAGTGGAGATATTTGGGATACAATGAGTACCATGAGAGGTTATTAATGCTTTGATGAATATAGCTATGTTTTGAATTCTTGCTTGTTTGTTATACAAAACAGGTGAGGAAGGCATGAAAGTGAACCCCACAAAGCAAAGTCCAGAAAAGAAGGCAAATTACAAGAGATGGCTGAGAATTGGCCTTTACACAATGATGCTACTCTCAGGCCAATCGGTGGGAACTTTGCTTGGAAGGCTTTACTTTGCCAATGGTGGCAAAAGCAAATGGTTGGCAACTTTAGTTACATTGATAGGCTTCCCCATCCTCCTCCCACTCTACATGATAAAATCACCCAAAACTCCACCCTCAAGCGTCACCCTCCAATCAAAACCTCCCACAGCTGCAAAACTTGCCTCTGTCTATGTCTCCCTTGGCCTCCTCGTGGCCCTCGGCTGCTTCCTCTACTCTGTGGGCCTCATGTACCTGCCTGTCTCAACTTATTCCCTCATTTGCGCCTCTCAATTGGCCTTCAATGCCTTGTTTTCTTACTTCCTTAACTCCTTAGTCTTCACTCCTTTCATTGTCAACTCTCTTGTTCTTCTCACCATCTCCTCCTCCCTCCTTGTGTTTCAGACCGACCCCGTCTCCGACGATGGCTCCGATGGCACCGTCCACCCGGACTCCAGAGCTAAGTTCGTTACAGGTAATTACGTTTTAAATGTTCATGTTGATGAAAATCATATAGATATCTCTCAATTTTATTGAGATATCTGGATAAAATGTGGACACATATCTTCTAGGAATTATAGGTATTAGAGAAAAGGAAGTTAAAGTGTAATTTTGTCATTAGACAGTAGACTTCTTACTTTGGATAGCTCATAGACTTTTGCATTTGTAAGATCTTGCCTTATTTGATCTCTTCCCCTCCCATTGAAACTTGAACTTGTTCTAGCATTAGTATATATGGTGATATCCAACTCAAAAGTTTGAACACAGAAAGTTCCTTCATTATTATATATTGGATAAAGAAATGGTAAAGGAGAAAAAAACAAAGTTAAAAGGAGTTGACAACTGCGAGAAACGTCGAATAGRAAAGAGTTGATATAATCCGTATTTTCATTCCGGTTATAATCCATTAGCAAGCAAGTAGGGGAAACCATTTTCCTTTTATTCGGTAATGGAATACAAGCATTACAGAGAGTATTTCAATAGGAATATGAATATGAATCTTTCGATTTTTTAAAGTTTTAAAGACATATGATATATAGTGGAAAGGTTAGGAACTAGTAAAGACTTTTTTCCAAATTAAAGAAACTAAATAGACGACTAGCCGTGAAGATTATGTTGGTGAATGTGTTTATTTCATCATCAATTGTTGAATTTTAAATTTTATACTCAATAGATGTCTAATTTTTAATTTTATTGCTCTAGGCCTACCATTTTTAAAACTTAGTTATAAAATACATCGTCATTGAAAATTTAGAAACTACTAAAATGTTTTAAAATTCAAGTATATGTAGTTTACACAAACTATCAAACTTCATGGACCTTAATATTATGTTAACAATTTTTATATATTTCGTTGCATATGTCCATGAAAATTTAATACCTTGGGCGTTTGATGACAGGGTTCATATGCACGGTGGCGGCCTCGGCCGGGTACGGTCTAATGCTCTCGCTAACCCAACTAGCGTTCAAGAAAGTGATAAAGAAGGAGAATTTCAGAGCGGTTATGGACATGATAATTTACCAGTCGATTGTTTCGAGTGGGGCAATCTTGATCGGCTTCTTCGCGAGCGGAGAGTGGAAGAGCGTGAAGAAGGAAATGGACGACTTCCATTCGGGAAAAGTTTCTTACATAATGACTTTGCTGTGGACTGTCGTTAGTTGGCAGCTCTTCTCCGTTGGCTGCGTGGGGCTGATTTTCGACGTCTCGTCTCTCTTCTCCAACGCCATTAGCGCTCTCGGTCTGCCCATTGTTCCTGTTTTTGCAGTCATTTTCTTTCATGACAGAATGGATGGAGTCAAAATCGTGGCCATGGTTTTGGCTGTGTGGGGCTTCGTTTCCTATGGCTATCAAAATTATCTTGATGATTTGAAGACCTCCTCCAAGCTCGAAGATGGACTCTCCAATGAGCTTTCTAAAGCTTCTTCTCCCTAAAAGAGAGGTTACGACGGGACAGCGGATAAAATTTTAGGTACTTATTGATAAGTAAGCATCTTTCTTATTTGCACCATTAAAAGATTTATAATCATCTCATTTTTATGAATTGATAGTATGGTTCCGATATCAATTTTTTATTGTAAATTATTTATAGAAAAATACATGGTTGCTTATCGATTACCGCCAAAGGTTGCAAGGTGGTTAGGGAATAAGATGATCCATATAGACCTTTTGAGTAAAACGAAAAGTAAAGCCATGATGATTACATCCAATACAGACAATATAACATCATTGTGAAGATTTCGTTGTCTTTAATACCTACTCAACAAAGATTAGAAGAAGTTCCACCCAAGCAGCTACACCAGAGATATTTTGTAACTGACTGTTTGACAGCAAAAAAGATCTTTCTTTCATGATGTCTTTCCTTTTTATGGTTGTGATGTGTTCACAGTCCAACATCTCATAACCAAATTTGCTTACTATGACCCATCCTCACAATCTGGATTCTTCAGTTTCAAATCTCCACATCCACTTTTCTACAATCAAAATCCCACATCATCCAATAAGGAAAAGATTATGGATATATAAACGAGAGACAATATTTTCATTGATATAAAACATTTTAGATGAAATCAAAAGCAAATCCACGAGTATAGCATCTCTAACACCCGGGGAGGTAACTCTGCCCCAATTTACAAGGTAGCTCCCTCCTTTTCTTTCTCCAAGGTTTTGCTGACTTCCACTGGGATTTTGAAGTTTATTAGAAATTGAATATATTGTTGAATCACATAACTAAATATTAAAGCACCCCATAAATGCAACTTAGATGCTAATGCATCAAAAACATTCTTAAATGCACTTAAGTTTTTAACTCGCCCAAAATTTCTTTCGAAGTGTTGTAAGATTATTCTGTTAGACCTCCTACCGATCCGGTGTACGTGTGTGAGTGAGAAGGAGGGGTAGACAGAGTGGGAGCTAAATTAGTTTCTATTTTTATGGTTCGATCATGTGTTAATCATGGTTTCGATGCAGGGTTTGGTAATGGAAGGTGTTTTTATATTTATATTTGGTTGCATTCAAATTAAATAAAACTTTTTCCAATGTCCGTACCAAATTATCATTAACTTGTTCTTGGGGGAATATTTGTATCAATATTTACTCTAAACTTTAAATTTCATCAAAAACACATTAAATTTGAATTAGTATATCAGTCTCCATCTTAAACTTGAAAAAACTGTCAGGAGTTTTTACCTTTTCGATGATTCTTCAAAAAATACTCTCATTTGCATCAAATAAATTATGAAACCTACATTTTTTTTAAATTGATAAGTTTTTTTTTTTAGTTTTTTACATTTTTTTTTATTAAAATCAACGGGTGAATTAGTGAAAATTTAATAGGGTGAAATTGATATACTTTCTAAGTTTAAGAGTAAAAATCGATTTTTTTTTTCGTTTTTTTTTAAATAACTATTTTTATGCTCTATTTCGAACCCATAAAAGGGTACACAAACTTTGACGTTTTCTTTACATGTCAGCTAATAGATGTTTCACAAACAATCACTTTTTTCAAAAGACATGTTCACTTAGGGTACATGTAGCCATTTTGCCACCACAGGATTTAAGAAGTTGAATTACTGATTCGATGCTATGGCTTGGTTTCTTCCACCCGATCAGATTGACTAGAAAACTATAAGTAATGCACATATTTCTTTACTGCACTAAAAGATCAACTTAACATATCACAACTCCTTTCATTCTCAAAAGCTAAAGATGAACAAGTTTAATTTTCACAACATCTGGTAGCTTCATTTCCCAGGAACAAAGTTGGTGGCATAAGCCCAAGCATTGTTGTTGACTGGGTCAGCAAGGTGGTCAGCAAGATTCTCCAACGGACCCTTTCCAGTGACAATGGCCTGAACGAAGAATCCAAACATGGAGAACATGGCCAATCTCCCATTCTTCAACTCCTTCACCTTTAGCTCTGCAAAAGCTTCCGGGTCATCTGCAAGCCCCAATGGGTCAAAGCTCCCACCCGGGTAAATCGGGTCAGTAACCTCGCCGAGTGGGCCACCGGCAATACGGTATCCCTCGACAGCCCCCATGAGAACCACCTGTGTCGCCCAAATGGCTAGAATGCTCTGTGCGTGGATCAAGCTCGGGTTTCCCAAGTAGTCGAGCCCGCCCTCACTGAAGATCTGAGATCCCGCCTTGAACCACACCGCTTCTCCAAACTTCACGCCGTTTCGGGACAAAAGCTCAGGGAAGACGCAGCCCAATGCCCCAAGCATGGCCCACCTACAACAAGGGCAAAGCCAAGAAGGGAAGATCTTTACTTTTTCCTCTAGTTTATCCCCAATTTGAGATTATATATAGGCTAAGTTACAAGATGGTCGTAAACTTTATAAATTTTATAGAAGCCTTAAACAGATTCTTCCACTTTTAGTTTTGTATCAAGTCCTAGAACTTACCATTCTTGTGTCTAACAAGTCTCTAGTTCAAAAGACACTTAATGGTTCAAGAGCTTACTAGACAAAATTAATAGTTCGGAGATTTATTAGACAATTTAAAATTAGGGTCCAAAACAACTTCAAATGTCATAAATGACCAAATTTGTTTTCTTCTTAAAGTAAAATTATAAAACTATAGAATTTTAAGATTATGTATATGAAAAGTTAGAAATTTTCTAGCTTGCTTCTAACCTTGAGTGGATGACTTCGAGCTCACGGTTCTTGGCGAAGGTCTCGGGGTCGGCTGAAAGGCCAGCAGTGTCCCAGCCGTAGTCACCGGGGAATTCTCCAGTGAGGTAGGACGGGGGCTCGCCGGAGAATGGGCCCAAATACTTAACACGGTCGGGTCCGTACCATGGACTTCCGGAAGAAACGGACTTGGAGACAGATTTCCTCATGCTAACTCTCCCATTGCCGAGAAGCTCGGGGGAGGAGGGTGTGAGCTTCACTGCCTTTCCGGCGAGTGAGGGGGAGGAGAGAGCCATTGTTGAGGCCGCCATTGGAAGAACAAGAGAGATACTTTGCTTTTGGTGTTAGAACTGAAGCTGCCGTTGTTGTGATGACAGAACCGTTGAGGTTGGACTTTATATAGAACATACCTTATCGGGGGAAAATCAACATCTATGATTCTATTGGCTGAGTATCTCCACGTGGCAGTTTCTTAGCCACAAATGAAACCTCATAATATTTAATAGCAAAAAGAAATAATTAATTATAGTTTCATAATATCACAGGGTCCCACTAGTCTTCCAATCAGAAACATTGACGTGGAAGGTATTAGATATTCATATATCCTATAGAGATGCAAATTTCTTGGTATATTGAAGATTTTGAAGATATTGGATAGGATATCACAGCTTCAATTCCTTATCTCAAAAGTTGGAAGAGAATTTTCTTTCCCTTACAATTCTAAGTTTCCAACTTACACATTTATTCCATCTGCAAAACCACCTTCCATAGTTAAAAGTCTTCTCTACTAATAGAAGCCAAAGGAAGCCAAATTAAGGATTGACAAACAGTTCCATAAACTAAATCGGTGAATCAGAGAACCAACAGCCTTCATCATATTACTGAATGTTGATTAGAGATGGATTTCAAGACACCGGGACCAGGTTCTCTCAGAATCTTTTCTACTTCATTTACGTGCTTGAACATACCACAAACGGAGTACTGAGTTCAGAAAATGGATATGAAAATTTGAGGTTTTGATGCATTCACGAGAGAGAAAAAAAGGGCTTAGTATGTAAAATTTTGTGAGACAGATTATTAACAGACGAATTTCTAGCCCACAAAAGGAATGCTTCAGTTAAACAGCTGATGCTTGCAAGAAGAATTATGCGTACAAAAAATGAAAAAAAGAGATTATTGAAATGGGATTTTACCTATTATCCGGGAGGATCATTGAGCAAGAAATCCTCTACAGTTGATGGGAATTCCAATCCTTCAAAAAACTCATCAGCGTTGTGAGAAGCAAAAGCAGCCTTACCCAGCAGCAAGTACGCCAATCTAAGAGGCTCTAACCTCTCCTCCTCACCGCCACCATTCAAGAAGTAATTAATCCATCCGTCAAGCCTCTCCACTTCCTTCCCACATTTGGGGCCTTTCAGCCCAACGATCTTGCTGTAAAACCCGTTTTCACAACCCCCGCAGCCATTACAGCTACAGCTACTCCTCGCTCCTGGATCAATCGCGTCTCTTCTCACTCCCAATGCTTTTTCGCCATATAAATCTCCAAGCCCTAGGAGTTGAATCAGGCGTTGGATGTCATCTAGCGGCTGATTTTGGCCAAAATCGACGGGCTTCGGATGATTGGATTCCGATTTTGGAGGGGATAGCGGAAATTCAGGGGAAGATGAGAGGAACTCGAGCGGAGGTTCGCTGCTTTCGTGGAGCATGGAGGTGTCGTTGGTTTGGGGCAAATGAAGAAACATGGGAGAGCTCAGTGAGTCTTCGGCTGATGAAGCATTGCCTTCTCGAACAGCCTCGTTTTGTAGCGATCCATGCTCCAATTTAAGCCGTTTTTCAACCTAGTTTGGGAATGAATCTAGAGATTATGAGACTGAAAAATGGAAATGGAATTGAAATTGGGAGTTAGGTTACCTGCTTCAGAGACGAAAAGAAATTGGAGAGAATAGATGGAGGCGGCGGCTGCATTTTTCTCGCACATGAAACTGCGGCGATGCGATTGCGAGGCAAAACTGCCACACAAAATTTGCCGCTAAATTTATATGCATAATTAATTATTCTCCGTTCCAGTATTTTTATATTTGTTCAATTTTATTCCCATGAATTTTGTTTTAGAAATTACACCTTTTTTTAAAAACAGAAATTACACATGAAAAATAGATGCATCGATAAAGAGAATTGATTACGTATTTTAAGAAAAATTTTCGACATTTATCCGTTGATAACTCTCAAAAAAAAATACTTTTCACCTTTTTTATATAAAAAACTATATTTTACCTGTCAAAATTTTAACAGTGATCAATCAACACAATATAGATACAATTTGGATGTTCAATCATCAATACTTAAATATTTTTCATATTTTAATGTGTCAGTCTAGTTTTGATATATTAGCTCTAATAGGCAAATGGGGACTTCTTTCTCTCTACCACATGTCTGTAGTATAATGTCTTGGTTCAATTTTTCATATCCAGAACGTTTGAGCTCAATTTTGAAATTTTATTTTGTATATAAAAATATTCCAAAGCAAAAAGGGAACAATATTTAATACAGTCGATACGCATTTGATATTTCACCTCATTTAATCCAAAACAAAATAAAATTACAATCGACTCTAATTTCACACTCGAAGCTAAAATTAAAGAAAAATCACATTTGATAGGTTCATTTTCCAGGAACAAAGTTGGTGGCATAAGCCCAAGCATTGTTGTTGACTGGGTCAGCCAAATGGTCAGCAAGGTTCTCCAATGGACCTTTTCCGGTGACAATAGCCTGAACGAAGAAACCAAACATGGAGAACATCGCCAACCTTCCATTCTTAAGCTCCTTCACCTTCAGCTCTGCAAATGCTTCCGGGTCATCTGCAAGTCCCAACGGGTCAAAGCTCCCACCCGGGTAGATCGGGTCGGTCACCTCGCCGAGTGGACCACCGGCAATACGGTATCCCTCGACGGCTCCCATTAGAACTACTTGGGAAGCCCAAATGGCTAAAATGCTCTGTGCGTGGATCAAGCTGGGGTTGCCCAAGTAGTCGAGCCCACCTTCATTGAAGATCTGAGATCCAGCCTTGAACCATACCGCTTCCCCGAATTTCACACCGTTGCGGGATAGAAGCTC